CTCTTTTCCCCTCATCAATTCTATGATTCACCTCATCTTTCATAGACCCATCCGCTGACACGTCCACTCCCAAATATCTGAATACATTCACCTCCTCCATACTCTCTCCCTCCAATCTGATATTCAATCTTTCATCACCTAATCTTTTTGTTATCCTTATAACCTTTACTCTTTCCTGTATTCACCTTTAATTTTCTTCTTTTGCACACCCTACCAAATTCATCCACCAATCTCTGCAACTTCTCTTCAGAATCTCCCAAGAGCACAGTGTCATCAGCAAAGAGCAGCTGTGACAACTCCCACTTTGTGTGTGATTCTTTATCTTTTAATTCCACGCCTCTTGCCAAGACCCTCGCATTTACTTCTCTTACAACCCCATCTATAAATATATTAAACAACCACGGTGACATCACACATCCTTGTCTAAGGCCTACTTTTACTGGGAAATAATTTCCCTCTTTCCTACATACTCTAACTTGAGCCTCACTATCCTCGTAAAAACTCTTCACTGCTTTCAGTATCCTACCTCCTACACCATACACTTGTAACATCTGCCACATTGCCCCCCTATCCACCCTGTCATACGCCTTTTCCAAATCCATAAATGCCACAAAGACCTCTTTAGCCTTATCTAAATACTGTTCACTTATATGTTTCACTGTAAACACCTGGTCCACACACCCCCTACCTTTCCTAAAGCCTCCTTGTTCATCTGCTATCCTATTCTCCGTCTTACTCTTAATTCTTTCAATAATAACTCTACCATACACTTTACCAGGTATACTCAGCAGACTTATTCCCCTATAATTTTTGCACTCTTTTTTATCCCCTTTGCCTTTATACAAAGGAACTATGCATGCTCTCTGCCAATCCCTAGGTACCTTACCCTCTTCCATACATTTATTAAATAATTGCACCAACCACTCCAAAAGTATATCCCCACCTGCTTTTAACATTTCTATCTTTATCCCATCAATCCAGGCTGCCTTACCCCCTTTCATTTTACCTACTCCCTCGCGAACTTCCCCCACACTCACAACTGGCTCTTCCTCACTCCTACAAGATGTTATTCCTCCTTGTCCTATACACGAAATCACAGCTTCCCTATCTTCATCAACATTTAACAATTCCTCAAAATATTCCCTCCATCTTCCCAATACCTCTAACTCTCCATTTAATAACTCTCCACTCCTATTTTTAACTGACAAATCCATTTGTTCTCTAGGCTTTCTTAACTTGTTAATCTCACTCCAAAACTTTTTTTATTTTCAACAAAATTTGTTGATAACATCTCACCCACTCTCTCATTTGCTCTCTTTTTACATTGCTTCACCACTCTCTTAACCTCTCTCTTTTTCTCCATATACTCTTCCCTCCTTGCATCACTTCTACTTTGTAAAAACTTCTCATATGCTAACTTTTTCTCCCTTACTACTCTCTTTACATCATCATTCCACCAATCGCTCCTCTTCCCTCCCGCACCCACCCTCCTGTAACCACAAACTTCTGCTGAACACTCTAACACTACACTTTTAAACCTACCCGTACCTCTTCGACCCCATTGCCTATGCTCTCATTAGCCTATCTATCCTCCAATAGCTGTTTATATCTTACCCTAAATGCCTCCTCTTTTAGTTTATAAACCTTCACCTCTCTCTTCCCTGATGCTTCTATTCTCCTTGTATCCCATCTACCTTTTACTCTCAGTGTAGCTACAACTAGAAAGTGATCTGATATATCTGTGGTCCCTCTATAAACATGTACATCCTGAAGTCTACTCAACAGTCTTTTATCTACCAATACATAATCCAACAAACTACTGTCATTTCGCCCTACATCATATCTTGTATACTTATTTATCCTCTTTTTCTTAAAATATGTATTACCTATAACTAGACCCCTTTCTATACAAAGTTCAATCAAAGGGCTCCCATTATCATTTACACCTGGCACCCCAAACTTACCTACCACACCCTCTCTAAAAGTTTCTCCTACTTTAGCATTCAGGTCCCCTACCACAATTACTCTCTCACTTGGTTCAAAGGCTCCTATACATTCACTTAACATCTCCCAAAATCTCTCTCCTCCTCTGCATTCCTCTCTTCTCCAGGTGCATACACGCTTATTATGACCCACTTCTCGCATCCAACCTTTACTTTAATCCACATAATTCTTGAATTTTACACATTCATATTCTCTTTTCTCCTTCCATAGCTGATCATTTAACATTACTGCTACCCCTTCCTTTGCTCTAACTCTCTCAGATACTCCAGATTTCATCCCATTTATATATATATATATATATATATAATATATATATATATATATATATATATATATATATATATATTATATATAATAAGACAGAGAAAGATAATGCAATGTCAGTGGCAGCAAGATAAGATTTCGTTGGGATTTTTAACCCCGGAGGGTTAGCCACCCAGGATAACCCAAGAAAGTCAGTGCGTCATCGAGGACTGTCTAACTTATTTCCATTGTGGTCCTTAATCTTGTCCCCCAGGATGTGACCCACACCAGTCCACTAACACCCAGGTACCTATTTGCTGCTAGGTGAACAGGACAATAGGTGTAAGGAAACGTGTCGAAATGTTTCTACCCGCCGGAAATCGAACCCGGGCCCTCCGTGTGTGAAGCGGGAGCTTTAGCCACCAGGCCACCGGGCCTGGTTACGTTTGGTTACGATTGGTTACGTTGAGTAAGAAACAAGACCTCAACAACGATGCACCGTCAACAGGAACAATAACAAAGACAGTGCCAACAGGAGTCCCAACAACAACAGTAACAAAGACAACAGTAGCAACATTAAAAGTAACACCTGAGGTAGCATTAACATTAACACAGGGCCAGCAACAAGTACCAGTAGCTGCGTACGAACACACCTGTAACCAGCGGGGTCCCGCAGGGGTCAGTCCTAGGACCAGTGCTGTTTCTGGTATTTGTGAACGACATGACGGAAGGAATAGACTCTCAGGTGTCCCTGTTTGCAGATGACGTGAAGTTGATGAGAAGAATTCACTCGATCGAAGATCAGGCAGAACTACAAAGGGATCTGGACAGGCTGCAGACCTGGTCCAGCAATTGGCTCCTGGAGTTCAATCCCACCAAGTGCAAAGTCATGAAGATTGGGGAAAGGCAAAGAAGACCGCAGACGGAGTACAGTCTAGGGGGACAGAGACTACAAACATCACTCAAGGAAAAAGATCTTGGGGTAAGTATAACACCAGGCACATCTCCTGAAGCACACATCAACCAAATAACTGCTGCAGCATATGGGCGCCTAGCAAACCTCAGAACAGCATTCCGACATCTTAATAAGGAATCGTTCAGGACCCTGTACACCGTGTACGTTAGGCCCATATTGGAGTATGCGGCACCAGTTTGGAACCCACACCTAGCCAAGCACGTGAAGAAACTAGAGAAAGTGCAAAGGTTTGCAACAAGACTAGTCCCAGAGCTAAGAGGTATGTCCTACGAGGAGAGGTTAAGGGAAATCAACCTGACGACACTGGAGGACAGGAGAGATACGGGGGACATGATAACGACATACAAAATACTGAGAGGAATTGACAAGGTGGACAGAGACAGGATGTTCCAGAGACTGGACACAGTAACAAGGGGACACAGTTGGAAGTTGAAGACACAGATGAACCACAGGGATGTTAGGAAGTATTTCTTCAGCCACAGAGTAGTCAGTAAGTGGAATAGTTTGGGAAGTGATGTAGTGGAGGCAGGATCCATACATAGCTTTAAGCAGAGGTATGATAAAGCTCACGGTTCAGGGAGAGTGACCCAGTAGAGACCAGTGAAGAGGCGAGGCTAGGAGCTATGAATCGACCCCTGCAACCTCAACTAGGTGAGCACACCACACACACACACACACACACACACACACACACACACACACACACTATTGAACCGTCACTGAGTGAGAGTACACAATTTCACACCTAGGTGTGAAAAAGAATCGAGTTACAGGCCTCGTACCTAGGTGTAAACTTACAAAAATATGAGAGTCCTGGCCGTGGACCAGGCCGCGGGGACGTTGACCCCCGGAATACCCTCCAGGTAGACTCCAGGTGTCACTTTAGTAGACATCTGGTTCGGAGACCCGACACTTGTCCAGGTGTCTTTATTGTGGTAAGGTTTCGCCACACATTGGTTTCATCAGTCCAATACAATTGTACTCACCAACCACAGTTGGTGAGTACAATTAGATGACTACTCACACAATAGATATCTGTGTATCTATCTGTTTGCTGACGTGGTAGTAATGAGAGGAGCAGACATCATTATATATTAGTCCTTGAACCAGTAAGTAATTCACTGCAAGACGTAGTGCAGGCTCGAACTTCCGTCTCTTAATAGAATCATTAGAAATGTACAGGTATGCACATTTAATAGATAGAATGTTCTTGTCGATACATGGGACAATCTGACGAGTAGAGTAAAGGGAGGTAAATCCTTGGGTAGCTTTGAAAAGCGACTTAGAAGAGAGAGAGAGAAGTCTGAGTTTGCATAGTTCACAAGAATCTGTGGATATAGATAATTCAGCAACAGAGTACCTTCATAGTCCTTTATAAAGAATATTTGTGAAGATCTGAAGGAGTTTGAAGTTATCAGTCCCTCAATCTCTTCAAGATTGATGGACTGATTACATCGACTCCAAGCTGAGGGATTGATTACCTCAAACTCCTTATGATCTTCACCATTCTACTTTGTAAAGGACTAATGAAGCCACTGATTGGCGAAACGTTTCCTCAGTAAAGACATCCAAGTGTTGTACGTGTCTAATTTATCACCGGTCACCCAGACTGGCCGACACATTTCACTGCTACACTTACGCAAGCCATCTTGTGCGATGGACTCTGACAGGGCAAACACAGCTACCTGTAGTTACGACGCCGCACTCATATAGAATAGCGGAACTGTATACTTTTTTACCACCCTCTCTTCTCTCCCTCTCCATATTTCATCCTGTGTCAGCTCCCCCTCTTTACCTCTCTCCCACAAAACCATCCCCCTAGCTTGGCAGCAGACATCACGTCAGTTGATCCCAGCACAGAGTGCTATCTCTACTCGCCTTCACATCATCAGAATCAGCACCCTCTCTCTCTCTCTCTCTCAGTCATTGCCAAGTAAGACAAAATATCGAGGGTATCCTCCAGTCTCTTCAGTTTACACAAGCAGACTATAATTATTTAAAATTTATCTTTGTAAATCCTAATTACTTGTGCATTATAATCCATATATTTTAGTAACAGTATCAAGTAAGATTACTCAGGTATACACAGTTACAAAGAATATTCATAGCAGCGTAGTATAGAGGACCTAAGATAACCAGGAAAGTCAGACGAAGTGAATAATTTCCACTGGAGTTCTTGCAATAATTATTACATATATCTAAAAGCAAGTATCTTAACGATGTAAAAGTGAGAATGAAATACGATAATACTAGGGGAGAGGTGTGGGTATAGTGTACACAATAAACTAGCCCCTGCTATCCAATGGAAGGAGTTAAACTATGTATACAAACTAGCCACATCCGTCCACAATCAATACACAATAAACTAGCCAGAACTAAAACTTTCGTGGATAGGAACTATCGCGTCCCATTCCAGCTAGAAACCATCAGCTTACTAGCCAGGTTTAGCTGGTCTTAAACTGACTTACGAAAATTAGCTAGAGCCCCGCCCTAGTAGCATAAATCACAGCCAAACAGAAAAAAAACCGTAATTTTTCTCCAAAATAAGAATGGCACACCAAGTGGAAGGTCAAACATATGCACTAAAGCGCTAAAGTATTAGGTGTCATACAACCCCTAAGGTACGGAAGGTTGGATGTTTGAAAGTAGCGGGTAGCTACAGTGTGTTTGATCAGGATTAAGTCACTGGCATCAAGGAGAGGCATAAGAGTTGATGGGTAGATAGTGTTGTACAAGCTTTACGAGTAGACAGAATCTTGCCACGGAAGTGTGCGTTAGTGAGAAGCTGCTGGATAGTGTATATAGTTGGTAGACAGTGTGTATATAGTTGATAGCCAGTGTGTATATAGTTGATAGCCAGTGTGTATATAGTTGATAGACTGTGTATACAGATTGATAGTATGTATATAGTTGGTAGACAGTGTGTATATAGTTGATAGACAGTGTGTATATAGTTGGTAGACAGTGTGTATATAGTTGATAGCCAGTGTGTATATAGTTGGAAGACAGTGTGCATATAATTGATAGACTGTGTATACAGTTGATATTGTGTATACAGTTGATATTGTGTATATAGTTGAAAGACAGTGTGTATATAGTTGATAGACTGTGTATACAGTTGATAGTGTGTATATAGTTGGTAGACAGTGTGTATATAGTTGATAGCCAGTGTGTATATAGTTGGTAGACAGTGTGTATATAGTTGACAGAGAGTGTGTATATAGTTGATAGACACTATTTATATAGTTGATAGACAGTGTGTATATAGTTGACAGTGTGTATATAGTTGATAGACAGTGTGTGTATATAGTTGATAGACAGTGTGTATATAGTTGATAGTGTGTATATAGTTGATAGACACTGTGTATATAGTTGATAGACAGTGTGTATATAGTTGACAGACACTGTGTATATAGTTGACACTGTGTATATAGTTGATAGACAGTGTGTATATAGTTGATAGACAGTGTGTATATAGTTAATAGAGAGTGAGTATATAGTTGATAGACAGTGTGTATATAGTTGATAGTGTGTATATAGTTGATAGACACTGTGTATATAGTTGATAGACAGTGTGTATATAGTTGACAGACACTGTGTATATAGTTGACACTGTGTATATAGTTGATAGACAGTGTGTATATAGTTGATAGAGAGTGAGTATATAGTTGATAGACAGTGTGTATATAGTTGATAGACAGTGTGTATATAGTTGATAGACAGTGTGTATATAGTTGATAGTGTGTATATAGTTGATAGACACTGTGTATATAGTTGATAGACAGTGTGTATATAGTTGACAGACACTGTGTATATAGTTGACACTGTGTATATAGTTGATAGACAGTGTGTATATAGTTGATAGAGAGTGAGTATATAGTTGATAGACAGTGTGTATATAGTTGATAAACACTGTGTATATAGTTGATAGACACTGTGTATATAGTTGATAGACAGTGTGTATATAGTTGATAGACACTGTGTATATAGTTGATAGACAGTGTGTATATAGTTGGAAGACTGTGTACACAGTTGATAATGTGTATATAGTTGATAGACAGTGTGTATATAGTTGGTAGACAGTGTGTATATAGTTGATGGACAGTGTGTATATAGTTGATAGACAGTGTGTATATAGTTGATAGACAGTGTGTATATAGTTGATAGACAGTGTGTATATAGTTGACAGACAGTGTGTATACAGTTGATAGACAGTGTGTATATAGTTGACAGACAGTGTGTATATAGTTGATAGACAGTGTGTATATAGTTGACAGATATCGTGTATATAGTTGATAGATATTGTGTATATAGTTGATAGACAGTGTGTATATAATTGCTAGTTTGAATACAGTATATATTTGATAGACTATGTATCACTGTAGTTCAGAGTCATGTATCATCGCTGTGTCTTCCTGTTATGTATCACCGCTGTGTCTTCCTGTTATGTATCACCGCTGTGTCTTCCTGTTATGTATCATCACTGTGTCTTCCTGTTATGTATCACCGCTGTGTCTTCCTGTTATGTATTATCGCTGTGTCTTCCTGTTATGTATCATCACTGTGTCTTCCTGTTATGTATCATCACTGTGTCTTCCTGTTATGTATCATCGCTGTGTCTTACTGTTATGTATCATCGCTGTGTCTTCCTGTTATGTATCATCGCTGTGTCTTCCTGTTATGTATCACCACTGTGTCTTCCTGTTATGTATCACCGCTGTGTCTTCCTGTTATGTATCACCGCTGTGTCTTCCTGTTATGTATCATCACTGTGTCTTCCTGTTATGTATCATCGCTGTGTCTTCCTGTTATGTATCATCGCTGTGTCTTCCTGTTATGTATCACCGCTGTGTCTTACTGTTATGTATCATCGCTGTGTCTTCCTGTTATGTATCATCGCTGTGTCTTCCTGTTATGTATCACCGCTGTGTCTTACTGTTATGTATCATGGCTGTGTCTTCCTGTTATGTATCATCGCTGTGTCTTCCTGTTATGTATCATCGCTGTGTCTTACTGTTATGTATCATCACTGTGTCTTACTGTTATGTATCATCACTGTGTCTTACTGTTATGTATCATCGCTGTGTCTTACTGTTATGTATCATCACTGTGTCTTACTGTTATGTATCATCGCTGTGTCTTACTGTTATGTATCATCACTGTGTCTTACTGTTATGTATCATCGCTGTGTCTTACTGTTATGTATCATCACTGTGTCTTACTGTTATGTATCATCACTGTGTCTTACTGTTATGTATCATCACTGTGTCTTACTGTTATGTATCATCGCTGTGTCTTACTGTTATGTATCATCACTGTGTCTTCCTGTTATGTATCATCACTGTGTCTTCCTGTTATGTATCATCGCTGTGTCTTACTGTTTATGTATCATGGCTGTGTCTTACTGTTATGTATCATCGCTGTGTCTTACTGTTATGTATCATCGCTGTGTCTTACTGTTATGTATCATCACTGTGTCTTCCTGTTATGTATCATCGCTGTGTCTTACTGTTATGTATCATCACTGTGTCTTACTGTTATGTATCATCACTGTGTCTTACTGTTATGTATCATCGCTGTGTCTTCCTGTCTATTAGTATCATCGCTGTGTCTTCTGTTATGTATCATACTGTGTCTTCCTGTTATGTATCACCGCTGTGTCTTCCTGTTATGTATCATCACTGTGTCTTCCTGTTATGTATCATCGCTGTGTCTTCCTGTTATGTATCATCGCTGTCGTCCTGCTATGTATCATAGCTGTGTCTTCCTGTTATGTATCATAGCTGTGTCTTCCTGTTATGTATCATCGCTGTGTCTTCCTGTTATGTATCATAGCTGTGTCTTCCTGTTATGTATCATCGCTGTGTCTTCCTGTTATGTATCATCACTGTGTCTTCCTGTTATGTATCATCGCTGTGTCTTCCTGTTATGTATCATCACTGTGTCTTCCTGTTATGTATCATCACTGTGTCTTCCTGTTATGTATCATCGCTGTGTCTTCCTGTTATGTATCATCACTGTGTCTTCCTGTTATGTATCACCGCTGTGTCTTCCTGTTATGTATCATCGCTGTGTCTTCCTGTTATGTATCATAGCTGTGTCTTCCTGTTATGTATCATCGCTGTGTCTTCCTGTTATGTATCATCACTGTGTCTTCCTGTTTATGTATCACCGCTGTGTCTTCCTGTTATGTTATCAACTGTGTCTTCCTGTTATGTATCACCGCTATGTCTTCCTGTTATGTATCATCAGCTGTGTCTTCCTGTTATGTATCATCGCTGTGTCTTCCTGTTATGTATCATCACTGTGTCTTACTGTTATGTATCATCGCTGTGTCTTCCTGTTATGTATCATCACTGTGTCTTCCTGTTATGTATCATCGCTGTGTCTTCCTGTTATGTATCATCGCTGTGTCTTCCTGTTATGTATCATCGCTGTGTCTTCCTGTTATGTATCACCGCTGTGTCTTCCTGTTATGTATCATCGCTGTGTCTTCCTGTTATGTATCACGCTGTGTCTTCCTGTTATGTATCATCGCTGTGTCTTCCTGTTATGTATCATCGCTGTGTCTTCCTGTTATGTATCACCACTGTGTCTTCCTGTTATGTATCACGCTGTGTCTTCCTGTTATGTATCACGCTGTGTCTTCCTGTTATGTATCATCGCTGTGTCTTCCTGTTATGTATCATCGCTGTGTCTTCCTGTTATGTATCATCGCTGTGTCTTCCTGTTATGTATCATCGCTGTGTCTTCCTGTTATGTATCACACGTGTCTTCCTGTTATGTATCACGCTGTGTCTTCCTGTTATGTATCATCGCTGTGTCTTCCTGTTATGTATCATCACTGTGTCTTCCTGTTATGTATCATCGCTGTGTCTTCCTGTTATGTATCATCGCTGTGTCTTCCTGTTATGTATCACCGCTGTGTCTTCC